TTCCTTCCTTCCTTCCTTCCTTCCTTCCTTCCTTCTTTCTGTCTTTCTGTCTTTCTTTCAAGACAGTGTTTTGTTCTTGTCACCCAGAGTGGAGTGCAGTGGCACAATCTCAGCTTACTGCATCTTCTGCCTTCTGGCTTCAAGCAATTCTCCTGCCTTAGCCTCCTAAGTAGCTGGGATTACAAGCCTGAGCCATCATGCCTGGCTAATTTTTGTATCTTTAGTAGAGAGGGTTCCACCACATTGGCCAAGCTTGTCTTGAACTCCTAACCTCCAGTGATCCACCCACCTTGGCCTCCTCAAGTGCTGGGATACAGGTGTGAATCACCATGCTGCCATCTTTTTTTTCATAAATTACCTAGTCTTGGGTATGTCCATATCAGAAGCATGAAAACGGACTAATACACTGCTTTTCCTCACTTTCCTATCTCTGTCATATTTCAGAGGGGATAGTTTGTACTCTATGTGTTGAATAAAGAGCCTATATATTTTTGGTCATTTGTAAGTAAAAGTCAGTGTTAATTTAAATGAAAATATAAGATTTCTTCATTTTTAAATGTTTGATTGTACTATGTGATATATGTAAAGAAAAAAACCATAAAACTTATGTGCAGTTATATGTTTTAACAATACTTCTCTGTGAACCCACAGAGAACTTCATTTTCTAGTTATTATGGTCCTTACTAGAAAGTGTCAAAAAGAGAAATTTATTTAGTTCAATTAAAAAAATACCAATACTCCCCTCATAAAGCAAACAAGCTTAAAGAATTTCCAATTGCACTTAGGATGCATAAGACCCTCAACCTATAATTGAGAAAAACTTTAAAAACTGAAAAACTCATATATTGTTTTGGCCCCATCAGAGAGCAGAGTTTGCAAGATATACAGATGAACTGAATTCCAAATGGTGATAAGCCCCTACAAGGAGTGGGTGGGACACAAAAATTGTTCTGCCTTTGGCATAGCAAGTCAGAGTCAGTAACAGTCATAATAGCAGGTAAGAAGAAAATAAGTGATATTGCAAGGAATTGTAAGTGTAGGCTATTGTGACAGTTTAAAAGCTTGAGACACGGGGCATTTGTTCTACCTACAAGCTTTCACCACAGACCTCCACCTATTGTTTATGAGAAGGATTGGGTGGATAGAGCAAAAGATTCAAGAGAGATCTCCCTCCCTCTTAATGAGCAGTGGCACTAAAACCCATCAGTTTCCTGAACAAGCACTTTTCTAAGCAAAAGTCACCTGCACTAAAAGAACACCCTGGAAATCTCTGTTGTAGGCAAATGTCACCTGTGGCCAGGAGAAGGGTAGAAGCAAAATCACCAGCTTGTGAGAAGGGCAGAACGCCTGTTGTACCCAATTCTGTGGTGATACAAACCAAAGAGCTGCTACCAGAGGAGAAACGGGAAACACATTTCTACCCAAGACCTTTTCTCACTATATATATGACAGGTTTTAGGTGCCATGGAATTAGTGAGAAAGCTCCATCCATGACACTAATTATTCAGGACCTACCTGGGCCTGAATCTAGAGCATAAGAATCTAAAAATTCTACCTTTTAACACCAATAATCTGCACTGATAACAAATGATAGTAACTTGCTAGGGGAAAGGCAAAGGTATGGAGAGAGGCATCTGTGGGAAATATCTGTGCAGGGCTTGCTGAAAGCAGATAAACAAACATTTGGAAAAGATCTTCATGTAATGCAGGAATCACACTAAGTATGAGGTAGCAGCAGCCCACAGCTGGAGAAACTTTCAGTTTTCAATGCACTAAAGGTAAGTATAACAACAAAAAATCCAAAACATATCCTAACTCCTGAATAGATGGACTTATCCTCCTATGGCAAGAGTTAAGAAAAGTAGAGGAATGACCACATTTGAGTGTACACAAAATTTGCTTCAATATCTAAATAATCACCACTTAATTTAAAAATTCTGACTCTCTAAAAGCAAGAAAAATAGTACCCGTTATCAAGAGCTAAAACAATTGACTGAACTAGACCTAGAAATGGTCTAGATAGACACATTAAACTACCCACAGCTAATAAGTCAATGGATCTAGTTGACAAGTTGGGCAACATGCAACACTACATGGAAAAGATAAGGAAAAAGATGGAAATTATAAACAGGATTTTTCCCCCATTTATTCATTTTATTGCATTTTAGGTTTTGGGGTACATGTGAAGAACATGCAAAATTGTTGCATAGGTACACATGTGGCAGTGTGATTTGCTGCCTTCCTCCCCATCACCTACATCTGGCATTTCTCCCCTTGCTATCTCTCCCCAGCTCCCCATCCCCCACCGTCCCTCCCCTATTTGCCCCCAACTGACCCCAGTGTGTAGTGCTCCCCTCCCTTAAACAGGATTTTTTTTTAAACCCACACTATCAGAGATAAAGAATTCCTTCCATCATTACACTTTATACAACTGAGTCCAGAGGGGCTAAGCTTAAAGATGTGTCAATAGAAATGGATCATTTAATTAATTGTTAATAGAAATGTTTAGTCATTTCATGAAATAATATTACATGAAATACAAAGTGAAAATTGAATGAAAAGAAAATAATATAACAGAGCACCGAAGAGCTGCAGAGCACTGTTAAATTGTTTAACTCATATTTACATGTAGTTCTAGGAGAAAGGTGCAAAAATGATAAAAGAATATTTTGAGCAAAGGATAAGTACAAAGAAAAACAGACCTGAGCACATGATAGTTAAACTAAACAACAACAACAGTAACAACAGCAACAAAAAACAAATATGGAAAGAAAAATCTTGAAGGCAGCAGGGGAAGAAGAAAACGTTACATTCAGGGCAATAAAAACTAAAATGAAAGCAGGTTGTTTGTCATAAACACAGCTATGTAAACCAGAAAACAACGGAGTGATGTCTTTAAAGTTCTGTAGGAATAAAGATGAAATACTCTCAGTTTAGAATTTTATACCCAGAAGAAATACAAAATGCCAATATCACAGAATTTATCGGCTCCCTTCTTCCAGACCATGTCACCTTTCTTTGCTAAGGTAATCACAATACTAACATTTATGAAAATATACTCTTCATTTTCTTCATAGTTGTGCACCTATGCATTCACCTAAAATTTAAATCTAACCATTCTATTCTTGTTTTATATTTTGGCTCAATATTACATTTATAGGAATCCTTCACATCATAATGGGCAACTCTTATCTTCAATTTAATCTCTGTTTACCTTTCCACTATATTATAATTATCACAATTTATTATACATTCTTACATTAAGGGACATCTCTTCTGTGGGTTCTTCTACCTAGGCCTCTGGGATACGCTTTCTTTCTTGGTTCACCACTTGTTTTTCTGATGACTTTGACTGAGCAATTTGGCTATGTGAAGACATTATCAAAATTTGGCCTTCTTGATCAGTATATGTTTCCTGAAATAACTCATTCATTTCTATTGGTTTAACAATCAAAGAAGGTGACTTCCTAATCTGCATTTATCTATTCATTGACTATGTTGACTGTCCAATTCCTAAAAAATTCTTTGACTAAGCAACCCTACTGCTTGAAGGTAGCATACCATTTTGATAGACTCTTAGTAATGTCTTAGGAGAATAGATTCAGGGAAAGATATTTGTAGGAATCTAGGCCTTTAACTATGTGATTTTAGGTCAGTTTTGCAAGGTGGGATTTAGTTTTGATGGGATAGAATTTATAACATAATAGCTTTGGATTGATAGTTGCAACAAAGAAAGGGTTTTGAAGTGAGTCTTAAACAAGATATCAGTCTTGATAAGTAAGCAGTTGTTTAGTGTCTTGTCATCTAGGATCAACCATTTTCTGGGGCAAGACATGAAGTCATTTTTACTTGGGCCCAGCATTGTTTAACAAACAGATAGGAAAGTACACGTGGTACAAGCATTATTCAACACAGGGAAAGTGGATTATGTTAATGTGAGTTCTCAGACACTACACATTTCAAGATAAACTGCAAATATTTACAATTAATAAAACTCAATGCATTTATGTCACACAGACACTCATATGGCCTCCTCCTGAGTATGGTGTGGGATCTATGACTTGCTTTTAATTACTAAAATATAACGAAGGTGATGAGAAGTCACTTTGGTGATTACATGACATCAGATTTTAAGTTCTCTCTTGCTACCAGACCCTCTGGCAATGAAAGTGAGAGTGCCCTCTGGATAACAGCCAGCAAGAAACTCCAGGCAGCCTCCAGTTGACACCTAGAAAAGAACTGAGACCCTCGGTCTAGCAACCCATAAAGAACTAAAACATGCCAACAGCCATATGAGCCTGGAAATGGGGCTTTCAGATAAACCCCTACCCTGGTTGATACCTGGATTGTAGGCTTGTGAGAGATCATGAAACAGAAGACCTAGCTAGGTTGTGGCAGATTATGATCTATAGAAACAGTGAGATAATATAGTAAGTCCTCACTTAATGTTATTCTGTCCATAGATTTTTGGAAACTGTATAAAGCTGGTCCCAGAATAACATACTTTTGATAAACATTGTTTTATTATAATTTTGATGAGAAAGAAATTGTTTTCATTATGTTATTTTGCTTAGAACCTACTGATGACATTAAGTGAGGGTTTCCTGTATAGCGTTATGCATGTTGCTTAAGCCACTAAGTGTGGCAACATTGTTATGCAATAACTAATAAAGCATTGAAAACTAAATCCTCCATTTTGGGGACACAAAAAGGATTTTTAAAACTGCATTCTCTGATTTTTTGATTTTTCTTTTCCTTTGCTTGCTCCTCCCAATGTATTTCTCCAAGTATGTTTTCTCTCTTCCCTTCTCCTAACATTTTACGTACTTTTCTTCCTTTTCCATTTCTTCTCTCTGCTTCTTACTTTGCTTCTGGTAAATTACACAGTTATCTTCCTAGTCACATTGAAGCTTTGGAGATATTTTTGGTTTATTATATAAACGTCCATGAGAAGATGTTTCTTCAACATGCAGAGGCCAGGGAACTGGACATATGGTTGAAAGTCCTGTGCAATGTTTTTTATTCACAGGAAACAGTTAGCTCAGTGCATTTTCAGCCTAATTGCAGTTTAAGCTGGAAAGATGTTCTCATGCAAAGAAGATTCCTTGCTATTGTTGAAGCAGAGTGGAATATTAGGAAAGGTGAAAGTCCTTTATTTTACTGATTTTTACCTTCACATGATTTAATTTTATGCATTGCTGTGAAAGACAGATATGGTAGATAGATTTGGATTTTAGATCCCAAACATGGGACTTTTAGAGGAAAGTAGGTTGAGTATGTGGAGTCTGATATAAAGTGACCAAAGAACTTATGAGAAACCAAAATAGAGCTCTACTTTTGTTTTTAAGTTAAATTAAATTTTAAAGACAGCATCTTGTTCTGTGCCCCAGGCTGGAGTGGCATGATCATAGCTCACTATAACCTTGAACTCCTGGGCTCAAGGAATCCTCCTGCCTCAGCCTCCCAAGTATTATTGCTAACACTGCAGGCATGTGCCACCCTGCTTGGCTAATTTTATTTTTTTATTGTAGATAAAGGGTCTCACCTTGTTGCCCAGTCTGATCTCAACTCCCTGGCCTCAAGTGATCCTCATGTCTCAGCCTCTCAAAATTACTGGGATGGCAGGTGTGAGTTACCATGGCTGGCCTGAAATAGATCTGAAGATGAGTGCTTAAGTGTATTTTCCCAGCAACCATGGACAAGTTTAGCAGGTTCTGTCTCTAGACAGTAGTATCTTTCTATGCTCTTTCTTGTTCTCACAGTGTCTTAATTTACATGATTTTCTCCCGTCACCTGCACGGCATTCCTACTTGGCTTGTCCCATGTCATTTCCACCAACTCCAGCCATTCCAGGCCACTTATTGGTACAGACTATACCATACATAGCTACCTGGAAATTATTTTTGCTATTTTAAAATTTTACGTCAGAATGCTGTGCTGCGTCATCTTCATCTTGACAGCAAGAGAAGCTCTGAGCATGCTTCATCTCAAAATATACCGTCACTGTTTAGTCATTTCTGATCCCAAGGTCAGAATTACAATCTGTCTTCTATCCAGCCACAGCAAGTTTCCTGATACTCAATTCTACTTAGAAGCCATTTTACAAGTCATGATGTCTGCCTGCCTCACTAGAGTGCATGCTTCTTGATGGGAAATTACTCTTTTATTTCCTTCTCTCGGGGGGCCTAACATTGTAGATTTTGCAAAATATGGGCTCAGTTTTTTCTTGATACCAGTTCATCTGCAATACTTAAAGTAAAAATCTGACCCCCCAAAAAACAGACAATGTATTTTAAAGTGGCAAATAAACATGTGACTTTCTGAAGTTATTACTAAAATAAGTATTAATAAATCAAATACCCCTATTGAAGCCATATTCCCCAAGCAATTGAACGATAATTTCCCAACTCTATTTTTTCCAAGCCATTCTCTCCTACACAGAATTGGAGAGCCTATAAAATTTAGGTCAATTTACCCTCTGTTCAGTGGGAATACAATTGCAAAGTTCGGTAACTTGCAGAACAAAAACACTCTCACATTTTCTTTAGAAGTCTTTAGATTTTAAACTTTTATACTTTTCAATTATGGTTGAAATCTCATTTTCTTTTGGTGTAGTTTAAATATTTCCCGTGTTTTACCATCTCATTCCTGAAATGTTGTTTTGGAAACAAAAGTGAGTTAAGTTTTTAAACATTATCAGTTTAAATGTTGTCTAATCAGGTAGCTGCCGCTTATGAAAGTAATCAGAAAAAACAAATGTAAACTAAAGAAAACTCCGAATGTTTACTTTATTATTAATTAATCCCTTTTATTTATTTAGGTGCTTCACATTTACATTCAACTACTTCCATACACATTATTTTTTATCATCACAACTGTAGAAAATGGAATAATTGTTCTAGCTTATGACATTTTGCATAATAGAGAGGGAAACATATTTCAATGCATATTAGACACAGCCAATTCTATGTGTCTATTAATAAAATTAAAATATCTACATAAGTTAAAGCCTTCATATGCTAAAATGGAATTGAACTTATTTTGCCTGGTAGCAAAATGCAGGTACTCAATAACATTTTTATTAATAATGTTAGACATTTAATATTAAAAACATTTTCTTACACGAAAAAATAAGAACTCAGATGAAAGATAATGATGAAGCACTTAATATTATATACTGAGTGCTTCAGCAGTTTAACTTCACAGCTTATTTTGCAAATATTAGTATGGAAAGGGTACAGTATGCTACAGATATGGCTTTTAATTTTGAGCAAGGATGTGACAGATTGCATGGACAGCTATGTCTTGTATTTTGGAAGATCATCTATTATATAACATCAATAATTTTGACACCTTGAACGTTAGCTTTTCTTCTGAAATTGGAAGCATGTTTAAAGTTTTCTAAAGCATAAATTTCATGAAAGTTAGTATGTTGTTATTTCATAAGAAAAAGTTGAAGGATGAATATATGAAAGATAAAATTTTAATTTTCAAAAAAATTGAGCAAGTATATATGTACTCTAATTAGTATGTTCTGCAAATTCTCATTTATTTAGAGGACATATAATTATAAAACCCAGAGATCAGTGGATTTTATCAAACCATAGTAATTTTGATTTTGAATTATTGCCCTTTTTAACTTAGTGTTCTATTTATTTAATAAATTTGATAATCTCAGTATCAAAGTACTTTATTTAATCTTA